CCGAAGGGTCAGTGTGTCCTGAAAGGGAAGAGTCGCTCTGTAGATAGAAAGAGACTCTTTACCAGTGCAAGAGATGAGAAGAGGTTTTGTTCTAGGTCGAGAAGAAAGACGGATTTCAGTAAAGTAAGGGTTTTCACATCATCTTCTGGGTTTATTCATGTGCAGGGTCTCCCAAATGTATTTTCTTTCCCGAAATGAGATGATAGAGCACGGCCATGGTAAGTGATGGTAATCGGGCATGCAGGGCAGAAGTCGTGGCGCTCTGCGTGTGCGTTGCTGTGGAGTCGCCGCTGTACTGAGGTTGTTCTCGCTCCTTCTTGCTCCCCAGGGGGCAGGGTGCCGCGCCTGTGGCCATGCAGAAGGCCCAGCAGGTGTCTCAGGGCCTGGACATGCTCACAGCGAAGGTTGAGAACGCAGCCCGCAAACTAGAAGCCATGACCAACTCCAAGCAGGCCATTGCCAAGAGGATCGACGCCGCGCAGGTAGGAGAGAGCCCGCGGGATCACCTCCACCTTTTCTCCTCCTCCAGCGCCGGCAGCTCGCTGGCTGCACAGGATTGGCTCATTGTCTGCAACGGTGCCAACATATTTGGGAATCTGCAGAACCTCTTTCCCTGAGGAGTCCACTGGGAAAGGGTAGATACCAGTAGAAGCTCACTTAGCAGTTATATTTTTCTGATGTTTTCAAAAAAGAACTGCTAAAATACAAGCAAAACAGAGTCTCATTATATAGCTTTAATGGCATTGTATTTATGTTGTGTTTCTCTGCCATGTGTTATTTATGACACAGCAGATGGTTAAAGTCAAGAACTAACTGGGATTGAGTGAGGAGAAGAAAAGCTCCAAGAAAAGACAGACCAGCTGGGCTATAAGATTTGTACTTTCCCTTTTTTTCCTGAATTGCACTGTAAATCTCCATTGGCTAGAGCAGGACCAGTAGAAAGTGCTGTTGGAGATTTTAACCCTGCAGTTCCTGTGTGATGTGGAAGGGCTGGCGTCACAGGCCGTCTCCTGTGGTTTTTGTGCAGAACTGGCTGGCTGACCCGAACGGCGGTCCCGAAGGCGAGGAGAACATCCGTGGGATCCTGGCCGAAGCGAAGAAGATCGCGGACCTCTGCGAGGACCCCAAGGAGCGGGACGACATCCTGCGCTCTCTGGGAGAGATCGCCGCTCTGACGGGAAAGCTCTCCGACCTCAGAAGGCAGTGCGTACCCGCAGGCCAGCGTGTCCTGCCATTTTGTGTGACAGGAAACGTTTCTTCCACAATGCCTCCAAGAAATTTTACTTTCTGGAAGAGCTGATGTTTTAGGTGAAATTGTCACACATCATATTGTGCCCCCAAACCTCTTTTTAGAGCCTGTTTAGTCACATGGTGAGGCAAAACCCTCTGTAAAGACATGCTTGTGTTTAAGAGCTCCCTAAGAGGGCCTCGGTGGAGGACTTGGGATGGGCCAGGAGGGCCTCAGTGGAGGAAGAGTGGGGAAGGGGGGATCTTGGGCCGGGGCAGGAGGGCCTCAGTGGAGAAGGAGGAGGTCTTGGGCTGAGGCAGGAGGGCCTCAGTGGAGAAGGAGGAGGTCCTGGGCTGGGGCAGGTGGAGGAAGTCCTGGGCTGGGGCAGGAAAGTCACTGTATCATCTCGGCTGCTTTCTTTAGGGGCAAAGGTGACACTCCAGAAGCCAGGGCTCTAACCAAGCAGATCGCCACAGCGCTGCAGAACCTGCAGTCCAAGACCAACCGGGCCGTGGCCAACACCAGGCCCGTGAAGGCAGCCGTCAACCTGGAGGGCAAGATCGAGCAGGCCCAGCGCTGGATAGACAACCCCAGCGTCGATGACCGCGGAGTGGGTGGGTGAGGCGCTCCGTGCTGCTGTACGCCTTGACCTCGCAGCTGAATCGGACAGTCCTATTGCGAGTAACGAGACCCCAGGCCAGGCCTGTTTGTGGACCAAAGTGCGAGATGTCGGGGTTATCTGTTTGCCAGTGACGGCTTTATGTATGTAACCTAACTAAAACTGGACCCGGGTTGAAGTTTTAAGGAAAAACGAGACGGAATCTCTTTGCAGGCAAGTGCTGCTAATCTCCTGAGGGATCAATGTCCCTGTATTGTCTGCAAAGAAAGGCGTCCATTTTGATTAAATAGGATTTGCCAAACTTTAAAGCTGCATAGTCACTCCGCAGGGATTATGCTCTTGTGATGAACGTGATGACTGAACAGTCACGGGAGCTGATGTTTGTTCAGAAACGGCTATTACACGTCACAGGTGTTGGCAGTAATTCCATGAACGCAGGTACTGTAGGCTTTGCAGGGAATTAAACTGCAGCAGTTTAACTGAGGCAAATGCTGGCCCCAGCTTAAACCGGAGTCTGAAATCTCCACTACATCTGGCATGGTTTTCCTCTGCAGTGTAACTGAAGGTCAGTGATGCCATCGTCTTGACGAAAGTAACCAGTGAGATTAGTCCTCTAAATCCCCAGTACTGGGAGAGGGAGTAAGCTGTATAGGATTTGTATGATCGCATTATGGCTGTTTCAAGACTGCGATGGCTTCACGCCTCTGCACTGACAGAGAGGTGCAACTCTGAGGTCCGTCTGCT